TTTTTTAATGCAGAACTAGTGTTAGAACTTGCTTTGAATTAAAAATTTTCTGTCTTTAAGTCTGTGTTCATAGCAGTAATAAAAATTCACAGACATAAATACTCTGGACAATAAAACAGCTAAAAGTGGAGAAAGTCCAATCTAGTGGAGAATAACCTGAAACTACACAAAGTAGTACTTTTGTGAGCATACAAACTCTTTGAGGAGTTTTACAGTATACCCAGATGAAGTCAACTTAGACTTTTTCATTTCAAATATGTACAAATATTATTCCATCATACCATTTTCTGTTGTATAAAATTCAGGTTCTTTGAGTTCATGTTAATTTCTATCTTTAAAAGATAATCAATGTCGTGACAGCAATCATTTCCACTATATCAGAAATATGTTTTAAGTGCTAGTTTTACTAACAAAATGATTATTTGTACTAACTATTGTATTTGTCAGCTTCTTCAACACAGAAATATTCAGAACACATTTGCATTTTTCATAGTCCTTACAAAACAAAACAAAACAATAAACTATGAATAATTTTGTGGGAATTTCATGAACCTTTACAGAAAGTCTTGCTGTTCTTCTTTTAGCTGTTTAATTGTAATGTCATAGTAACAGAAAGCAGCATACCCAATTCTACATGGATGAATAAGCACATTCAATAAGGAAGATTTAACAGAGTAAATCAAACACTGGATTAAACATTTTCTGCATAACAGACCACAAAATGGGCATTCATTTTACCAATGGATCCTTGGCATTAGAAGCAAATAGAAGTGCATACCAACATAATTAAACTGAATATTCAGTGGCCTCATTGCAAAGTTTCCCTATATTTTATCAAACTAGCATCCAGTTAATTAAAATTGTCTAAACATATTCAAGCACACACATTGAAAATATTAAGTATAAACACTATTAATTTGCATTTCATCATTCAATAAATTAATTTTTCTTGTGTTTTATTATCCTTAAAATTTCAATGTAGTAAATTTTTTGTATGGCTGCACAAAGTAAAAAGTTCAGACAAACACATGGAAATCTGTATTATGGGGTGGTTTCACATTTAATATTATTTGATTTTCATTTTTAATAAGAAAAAAATTCTTATTTAAAGAGATTTTTAATCTCAAAGTATGAACTATTCTCCCCAAATTTGCTGACAAAACCTCACATCAGAATTTATGACATGGCTATTCATAGTAAAATTTTAAAATATTCTATAGTTTGTACTAGTAGTCTCTCCCATTATTTGTGTTTTATTAGTACAGTTTGTTTTTACTGTAATACATCCATGTTTTATTTCAGTGAGAAAGCATTTTTAATTAGTCTTTATCAGGAAATGGTTGAATAACCTAAAATTCAGAGCTTTTAATTTTCTCTAATCCTCAAGGATAATGTTGTATTAAATGTATGTATGAATCAAACCATTAAGAATAGAAAGAATCACTTCATGTTTGGACTAACTTTGTTCCAAGTTTGAATATAATGGGCTCATTTGAACCGTATTTTATATTGTATAGAGGTACACAATAGGGGTTTGGAGAGAAATATCTGAAATGCCTACTAAAAAGCAGGAATTGTCTTTGTATTTCTGTAGTAGCAATGTCTACAATTGCCACTATACCTTCTCATGGAAGCTACCCCTCCTACACCCTTGCCAAAAGGCAACAGTCATGTTTTAAATGACTTCATGCCTCTAACCACAGTTGATTGGAGGACAAAGAATAAAGCTGACCCAGGAGAATCCATGGCTTGTAAAGATTTATGCCTAGACTTGAGGCCTGTTTTAAAAAGATAACCTGGGCCAATCAGATTCCCTTTTCAGGGAATTCTAAATAAATGACATAGATAGAAGATGCAGTATAACAGAAGCTGGAAAAAAGTATTGAGATTTGTCTTGTTGTAAAGTGGGCTGGAGCAGCCATTATGTGAGGCATCCATCTTGTATATAGCCATAATCAAGATAAGTAAAGAGGAAGTTGACTGCTAGAGAGAAAGGAGAGTAGAGGAGACCTGCAAAAAGAAGTACAGTTGCCACGAGAGCAAGAGCGAGGGCCCACTCTTGTGAGAGACAAGTCGTGGTCTCTGTCCCATGAAGATTGGCTGTGCTATGTCTTTTTTCCTTCAATTCCTGCAAACTCCAGTGTATCCTTACAATAACACCCCTTTGTCTTCAGGTAGCCTGGGTGAGTATTGCAAACAAAAGAGTTTTGATTAAAAGACTTAAAAATGCCCATGTAGCCAAAAACAAATTAGCATACAGGCCCCACAAAAGAAGAGACAATTACAGATGGTTCTCTGCAAACTGTTTCTCCACCTAAAAATTACAGCTGAAAGAAGTTTTTATTATCACTATTCAAATACTAGAAATGTTATAATTCAAATCTAAATACTAATCAAGAAATCATAAGATGAGAACAGATCTTAGGAGATGATCTATCTATACTTTGCCTTCAGCTTAGTTCATAGCCATATTATTCCAGGCAGCTGGAAAAAGCTATTCTATTTTGAAGAAAGCTATTCTATTTTGAATACCACGGGAGAAGTGTATTTCCTTCTTTTTTGCCCATTTCTTCACTGTTAGGATACCCCACCACTACGATGTTGATTTGTACAATTTTTAATATTAAGTTTGGTGTTCTGAGTGATGTGTTAGTAACATATTAATATCACATCATGAAATGATTGAAAATAAAACAACTAATGCCAGTTCAGCCTAGCATTCAAAACCCTCCATACAATGGTCCCCAAATGAGCATGATTTTATAAGGAGTCTATGAGAAATGTTACAGAACTATCAAAACACATGAAATCAGCTGCATTAATGGTGAAACCTCAGTTGCAGTCCTAATTGCTCTGCAGCACTATACAAATTAAAGTTTTCATTAAGATAGAAAAATCGAAACTGCAGCAGTCAGCCTCCAAAATGGCCTCAGTGGGCCCCACATCTTGGCAGTCATGCCCCTGTGCAGTCTCTTCCCACATAAAATTGGCTGACCTGTGTACAAATAGGATTTTCTGGAAATGATGGAGTGTGATTTCAGAGAACAGGTCATTTAAAACATCACAGTTTCGGGGCCAGCCCTGTGGCTTAGCGGTTAAGTGCGCACGCTCTGCTACTGGCAGCCCAAGTTCGGATCCCGGCGCACCAACCTTCTGCTTCTCCGGCCATGCTGAGGTAGTGTCCCACATACAGCAACTAGAATGATGTGCAACTATGACATACAACTATCTACTGGGACTTTGGGGAGAAAAAGGGAAAAAAAGGAGGAGGATTGGCAATAGATGTTAGCTCAGGGCCGGTCTTCCTCAGCAAAAAGAGGAGGATTGGCATGGATGTTAGCTCAGGGGTGATCTTCCTCACAAAAAAAAAAAAAAATCAGTTTCCACCTTACTCTTTCTAGGATCACTCACTCTGAGAAAAGCCAGCTGTTAGTTCATGAGGACACTCAAACAACTCTGTGGAGAAGTTGGTGTGGCAGTAACTTCTGCTCACATGTAGCAAGGAACCAAGGCCTCCTGCCAGCAGCCGTGTGGGTGAGTGAGCCATCTTGGAAGTGTATCTTCCATCCCCAGTTAAGCCTTCAGATGACTGCAGCCTCAGCTGTCGTCCTGACTTCAACCTAATGAGAGACCCCAAAACAGAACCACTCAGCTAAGCTGCTCCTGAATTCCTAACCCACAGAAACTGTGAGGTAATAAATGTTTGTTGTTTTAAGACACAAATTTCTAGGGTGATTTCTTATTCAGCAATAGGTAGCTAAAAGAAAAATAAAGTACTAAAATCCATCTGACGGTGACATTTTAATCATGCTGAGTCATGGAGAGAACTGCTACTGCTACATCCAAGAAATCTATGACTCCACCCCAACCCAAATCTTTTAGTCAAGTCAAGCCCTAATCTAACCTTTCCAGCTTCATCTAATACTACTTCTCCACTGCCTATACTCTATGGTCCAGCAGAACTGGTCAATTCACTATTCTCTGAACATTTTTATGTCTCCATGTCTTTATTCAGACTTTTTCCTCTCACTGAAAAGCATTTATATTCCCTATCTTTGCTGTAAAAGTCACACATTTCCTTCAGAATCCCTCTCATCTGCCACCTGCTTCATGCAAGCTTTACTGATCTCCCAAACTGGATGATGTATCTTCTTCCTTTTAAGCCCTGTATTATTCAGGACTGGTTTAGTTGCAAATGACAGAATCCCAACTCAAAATAGCTCAAGCAAAAAGGGAATTTATTGGTTTACATAACTGGGATAGCCAAGAGGTGGAGATGGCTTAACCATGACTGGACCCTGAGGTGCACTCTTTCTCTCTTCCCATCTCTTGGTCCTGCTTCCTTGTTTACCTGTGAAGATTTCCTTCATTCCATAGGCAGTATCTTAATTGTCAGGAAAAATAGCTGTTGGAAATACAAACTTAAATCCTTACAGTTTGTTATCCAAAAGTAGAGAGTCTCTTTCTGTCTCCTCAGCTCCATGTATAAGGAAAGATTCTGATTGTTCCTATCAGAGTTCCAGCAGAAATTGAGGGCACACTCAACCTGGGTAATTTGTTGTCAGAGTTTGAGGAAAGCTACAAAGAATTGTGCAGGAATTACAACAGAAGAGAGCTGTTATTATCCCTGGACCAGAAGAGATAAGGGACGGGAAGAGTTACCTGAATCCAGAGAGGGTAGCTGTGTGGAGAAGGCCACCTGGCAGGTGCTGTGACTTCACTAGAGGGATGTAGCCAATTCACAGCAATCTTGCAAGGAAGGGACCACAGGAATAAATTTTCCTCCCTTCTTGTCATCTCTTGAGCCTCCCCATTGGCTGAACCCAACAAGAAGACAGACGGCAAAGAAGCCCATTAATGTATTTCATAAAGGTCAACATCCTAGAGCTCAGAGAAGAGTAGAAGAGGGTGGATAATAGATCTAGAGAGATGAAGAGAAAATATTTAGGACACCCTACTTGGGTCATGTGCCCATACATTGACCAATCACTGTGGCACAGGACAGGCTAGTGAGATTGGCCCGCTTGTGTCACATAGTCACTCTGAGGGAAGGGGACTGAGGTTGGGGCAAGGTGACACAATAATTAACAGAAGCTTCAGAACTATAGGTTGGTACAGGGTTGTACCCCAAAAAAGTGATGCTGGATAAAAAAGTATGACTAATGCAGACCCAATTCTGCTTTAGCCCTTTATTGAGGGCCCTTATTGATTTAAGTCTTAAATTATAGTTAGTTCTGACTTTGCTTATCCCACTTATCAGATTATAAGTACCTAGTTAACACAACTTATTTTTTTTCTCATCTTTGATTCCCCTGCAGCACCTATCACAATGCCTGGAGCATGACAGTTCTTAAATAAAGTTAATGAATATTCAGTTGAAATATTTTTTATGTATTTTGAGAACAGTTAATGGAGATATATAGTAAACCTCTTATTTTAATTCTATTTTGAGAAGTTTCATCTGTTCCAAGTTGGCTTGGAGATGTCTTTTTTAAATGCATGGAAATGATGATTTGTATGTTTTTCCTCTTACAAAAAGTTATACGAGAACTTGCATCTTAGGCACAGATGCCCTTATCTTAGAGTGACATGAGTTTAGGATTTACAATCTGTCAGATTTTCTGAGCTGAAAATCCTGCCCCCAAGGTACATTTCCTGCAGGTACATGGATGCTTAGCTCCACATATTTATCACGGACTGTTTCTAGGCATTTAGGCCTACTAAAAATTTGGTTTGACCTTTGCCATACATGTTAAATAATGAAGTTGAGAGAGATGAAATGTACCACATGCCGTGTGTAATTTCTCCTAATAGAACTCTGAAATGTTTAATGTGCAAAAAAGTAGTTATTAGTCAACTGGAATAATAATTAATGTCCTTAATTATCCTGGAAGTACACTTTTATCTTAATAAAATGACAGATCTGTGCAAATTTTATAGAAGTGGCATAGTTTGACTTGCCAAGATGTAACATTGACAGAATTTTGTATATCATCTAATAAATATTAGTTTAGGATCACCAAAAGAAGACATTAATCTTTGTAACTAAAATTATAAATTTGTCTTTGCTTTTCCTTTGTAAACTGCGTGGTTCTATTAGACCTATTCTTAGAATAAGAAATAGTGTCACGGCAGTTGAGGTATGGATAATGTGGGAAATGTTTGTGACCACAATCATATGAATTACAAATGTGAGAAGATGTGCTACAATTGGATTTGCTACGATTAGACCAAAAAAAAAAAGAAACACTTCTGTTTAGAAATGCTATCAAAGTTATTCTTGCTTATTTATCCCCAATTTCACACATTCACTTGCTCCTCTTTATATTTTCTGTTGTCAACCTTTTTATTTTAAGAAACCATCAAACAACTTCTACAAAAAGTTATTTTTTAAATGTGAATCATCAGTCATCAATTATATATTTCCTATGATACAAACTCATAGCTTTTCTGAGTTCTTATTTGAAGGATCCAACCTATAGTAGGCCTTCAGCTTCTTCTTCAATATCTTTTTATTTTATAGTGGTTTATATAGCTCTTTCTTTTCATCTGCCTCTCATTTTGTCTTTCCCAAATCCCATTTGGCACGTTTATTTTTCCTTCCATTCACTGAACATTTTTTAAGCATCTATTGTATTCAAAGATGATTAAGAGAGATGAGGGGTCATGATGGGAAGGATGGACACACAGATGCTTTATAGTACCAGCCATAAGATGAGTATGATAAGAAAGGTATAAATAAAATAGTATGAACCTGCAGAGTAAAGATCTTTTCATTCTGCCAAGAAGGATAGGAGAAGGCATCCAAGAGATGGTAGAATTTAGGCTATGTCCTAAGGAAAGAGTAAAATTTAACCAGATGGAAATGAATGGAAAGGACATTATAAACAAGAGAGACAACCTGATCTGAGGTATGGAGGCAGCAAAGTGCATGATGAGTTTGAAGAACAGAGAATAGACCTATATGGTTGTAGTATGGAACTTGGAAAGAAATGGTTAAAAATGAGATTTGCAAAGTAGGTTATAGTGAGATCATGAGGGAATTGTGGACTTTATAGGTAACTGGAAGCACTGAGAGCTTTTTGTACAGGGAAAGGTATAATTGTATCTTTGAAAGAAAATTCTGCTTGTGATATGATGGATATAGTAGAAAGGAAATGGGAGGTAGAAAGATCAGTTAGGAGACTGTTTCAATAATTTAGGAAAGGTAAATGAGTGATGAAACTGAGGCAATGGCAGTGAGAATGGAATGAGGATGAATTTGGGAGACATCAGTAGAAATGGCAGACCAGTCAATATATTGTGGAGTGGGTGTGAGAATAAGTGAGGAGAAGTCGAACTTGACCCTAGATGGCAATCCATTTGGCTCCAGCCAAAGAAGATTTTATCAAGGCTATCACATTGCCCAGTTCTAGGAAGCACCATTCACGCTGTGGGCTATGTAAATGACAGCCTACATAACCTGCACAGCTATAAGCAGGGTCCTGGCTTCTGTTTCCTTCCTGTACTAAGAAAGTGCCATTTCCTGTTATTGACCAATAGAAATTTTAATGGCACTGATTTCTGAGATGACAACTAACCCATATAGTAAAGAAAAAAATGTAATAAAATAAAATTTAGGGAACAGCAAGTAAACAAGTAAGGTTAAATAATAAATTCAGCGAAGTGACTAGGCCTATGTGTTTAAATGTTATTTACGTATTGGTTTACTGTGCTGTTTCATTTGCATTGTTACAAGAAGCAGCTGTTTGGGACTAATGTAGGCTTTCAAATTAGTATTCTCAGGGTTTAGGATAAAGCAGAGTTTGTTTTAACAGCTTTATTGAGAAATAGTTCATATACCATAGAATTCACTCATTTAAAATGTACAATTTGGTGGGTTTTTCATGTGTCTCTCATTTTGTCTTTCACAAATCCCATTTGGCACATTTATTTTTCCTTCCGTTCACTGAACATTTTGTTTTTATTCACAGAGTTGTGCAACAATCAACACAGTAAATTTTAGAACATATTCATCCTCCCCAAAAGAAAACCCATAGCCTTTAGCTATCATCTCCTTTCCCCTTTTGGTGCCACCCCCCACTTCCCAGATCCTAACAACCACTAATATACTTTCTATCTCCATTCCCTGTTCTGGACATTTCCTATGAGTGGAATCATACAATATGTGGTCTTTTGTGACGGGCTTCTTTCACTTAGTATAATGTTTTCAAGGTTCATCCATGTCATAGCACGTATCAGTACTTCATTCCTTTTTAGGGCTTCATAATATTCCATTGTATGGATATACCACAGTTTGTTTATCCACTCATCAGTTGATGGACATTTGGGTTGTTTCTACCTTTTGGCTATTATGAGTAATGCTGCCATAAATATTAGTGTACAAGTTTTTGAATGGACATATGTTTTCATTTCTCTTCGATATGTACCTAGGAATGGAAGTGATGGGTCATGTGGTAACTCCGTGTTTAATGGCTCGAGGAACTGTGAGACTGTTTTCCAAAGTGACTGCACCATTTTACATTCCCACCAGCATTGTATCAGGGTTCTGATTTCTCCACATCTTCACCAACACTTGTTATTATCTGACTTTTTTATGCCAGCCATCCTAGTGAATGTGAAATAGCATCTCATTATGGTTTTTGTGTGCATTTCTCTAATTGTTTGGGGCTAATATAAGACCTTAAAACTAATATCCTCATGTTTAGGATAAAGCAAAGGTTATTTAAAAATCTTGAGATCAGTTTATTTAAGAAGATATATTTACACCATTTCTTGGAGTATGTAAATGAGAAAGAATAAAAAATTGTTAAAGTTAAAAGATATATTGACTAGATCTACTAGGTACAAGACACTAGCAGAGTGTATAATGATGAATAAGAAGTGGACATATGCTTCTTTGAGAGAAGAGACACACAAATGGCTTATAATACTAGGTATTCAATGATAAATGCCATTATAAAGGAATAAACAAGATGTCATGGACATGCAAAGGAAGGAACTCTTCCTTCTGCTTTGAGGGCTGGTAGAAGTCTTCAATAGGGAACAAGCATAGAAGTCAAGATACGTTTGAAGAACAGGGAAAAGAGTCTGTGTGGCTGTAGCTAAATAAATCTGTCTAAACTTATTTCTTTACATAAAGATTTTTTAAGTAATAAAACATATACTTGATAATTGTTAGGTGATCAAGTCAGTTTTTTTCTCTTGATGTAACTAATATATGAATTCTTATATGGTTCATTAAAAATATATGCTGATTAAGACATTGACAAAGGAAGATTGAAACAAGCTCCTTTATAACATATGGGCTAAAGGCAGCATTTTTAAATGGCAGAATAATGTCTAATTTTGAACAATGTATATTGATTTTAAAAACTAAATGCAATAAGGTATGTTAATAATAATAATAATAATAGTAATAATAATATCTTAATTGTCATCATTTCTTATGGGGTTGCTATGCCAGACGCTATGTCAGGTATTTTATTTTTCTGTTGTTCTTGAGGAAGATTAGCTCTGAGCTAACATCTGTGCCAATCTTCCTCCACTTTAAATGTGGGTCGATGCCACAGCACGGCTGATGAGTGGTGTAGGTCTGCCCCTGGGACCCGAACCTGCGAACCCGGGCTGCCAAAGCAGAGCACACTGAACTTAACCACTATGCCACGGAGCTGGCCCCAATGTTAGGTATTTTAAATACATTATCTCTAATCTTTTGAGTAACTTTACAAGGTAGATATCTTCATCTTCATTTTACAGATTAGATATCTGAGGCTCAGAGAGTACAAAGACATTTGAGATGCAATTCCTATACTGAACTCTCTCACACATAACTAACTTTTTAAATCTCACTTATTGCCTGCACACCCCATTTGCATAGTGGGACTGTAATTTGGCCTCCCACAAACCTTGACACAAAACTTGACTCCTTCGCTGGCTCTCACAAAAATTCTAATCATAATGAACATATCATTGTTGTTTGTTTTTGTTTGCTTTTATGTTTTGAGTT